AAAGACAAGGTCAGAGGAATGGAAGAAGCTTTCATGAATTAATAATCTCATAAACTTTTTGGATATTATCAGTAATGATTGAAAATTACATGTTTACATAGGCCTAAGTGGAACCAGAACCTCCTGGTATTTTGCTTAGAAACTAGAAACAATGTTTACAATAAACATAAGAGTCCTCTGGGCTGGCTCCCTGAGGCGGTGGTTAAGGCGCCTGGATCCCACATGGCCAACTGCGCAGTTGAGTGGTGGACCTGGCAGCTTCCAAGTCCGGCTTGTGAGTAAGCCCAAAATCCCCAAAAAAGGAAGAGATGAAAGAGAAGAAACTGCACGTGATGATCCCCTGTGGGGTTGCTTTTTCTTATCATTCTGTGTCTTTCTGGCGAGCACACGTACCTTCTGAAAAACAGAGTCCTTTAATAAATATTAAGATTTGTTGGTTCCAGGAATTAAAAAAACTTTAAAGAAACCCCTAATTTCTTTTATGCTCTCACAAAGGTCTCTATTAGGAAACTTAAGTGTAGCCAGAAATACCTTCGGAAGCTAATTCTGGGAGGCTCCATGGCGTGGTAGTTAAGGCAACCAGATCCCACATGTCTGATCGAGCAGTTTGCAACGTGGCTTGAAATGCCAGCCACGGGTGCGTATGTGCCCGAAATCACAAAAGGAGGGAGAAATGGAGAAGGGACTTCTGCATGACCATGCCCTGGGTGTGTGTGTGCGTGTGTGCTTTCTCCTCTCCCTTTCTCTGTTCCTGTCTGGCAAGCACACACTTCCTCTAGGAAAAAAGGAGCTGATTTCTTTCTTTTTTTTTGCTATAGGGCATGTGTGCTCACCAGAGAGAGACAGAGAGACAGAAAGCGAGAAATCACCCCCTAGGGAGGATGGCCACACCACAATCCCTGCTTCTCTATTCTCCTCTCAGAATTTTGGGCACACACACAGATGTGCTCAGCATGTTATTCAAGCTGCCGGCTCCAGGCCTCCAGTCTCAAAGTCAGCCAGGTGGCTGGCCCAGAGAAGCTAATTTCAAGTGAGATGAGCAGGAAGCAGAGATTGCAGGAGTGGATATAAATGAACTTAACTAGAGGGCCAAGGAGGGCTATTCTGAGGAAGTGCCTATGAATTGGGAGGTACTGATGAGGTGGAAGAGTGGGGCCCAGGAGAGGGACTAGTAAGTGCAAAACCTAGAAGGTGAGCGAGAACAGGACTTCTGTGAGTTCAGTAGGAGGCTGCTGTAAAGAGGGGAGCCTGGCGAGGTGAGCCTGGAGGACTAGTTAAGCAAGTGCCAGGCTATGTGTGTGGCCTTAGAGCCACATTAGGGGTCTGAACTGAGAAAGCTAAGGTGCAACGACTAAATTGTTTTAATTTCAGAAAGTTTTGTTTTTACTGTACTTCCTATTCTTAGGTACCTGAAAACTGGGCTCAGTTATAAAGTTACTCCTTATTTTAGTCCTAAGCAAGTCCCTCAGGTCTGTCATATTTGATACCATATGCCATAACTTAAGTACTAACTTATTTTTTTTGGGGGGGAGAGGTTTTTGCTATAGGGCACATGCGCTCGCCAGAAAGAGAGAGAGAGAGAGAAAGTGAGAAATCGCTCCCCAGGGGGAATGGCCATGCTGCAATCCCTTCTCCTCCATTTTCCTCTCGGGATCTTGGGCATGCATGCACACACGCCCAGCTTGAGTTCAAGCCACCGGGTCTGGGACTCGAACCACGGCTGACTACACGGGAGTCCAGCGACATAGCCGTTACGCCAACTGCTCGTTCCACTTAAGTACTAACTCGATGCTGTAACTTTTGCTAAGCATTTTACATACATCTTCATTTACTTTTCTTTTTTTTTTTTTTTTGGGGGGGTTTTCGCTAGAGGGCGCGTGGCCTCGCGACAGAGAGAGACAGAGAGACAGAAAGCGAGAAATCACCCCCTAGGGAGGATGGTCACGGAGCAATTCCTTCTCCTCCATTCTCCTCTCGGGATCTTGGGCATGCACGCACACGAGCCCAGCGTGAGTTTCAAGCCACCAGGTCCGGGACGCGAAACGCGGTCGACTACGTGGGAGTCCAGTGACATAGCCATTACGCTAACTGCTGGTTCCCTTCATTTAATCTTCATAATCATGATGAGGAAAACAAAACTGGGTGGGCTGTTTTAGATCACATAACTAGAACACGATACAGCCAAGATGCAAATCCAAAGTGTCTGACCATACTGAGGCTTCCAAGTAAGATGCCATTCTTCCCTTGCAGTTTAGTGGGTGATACACAATAATTAGGAAAGTGCTCACAAAGCGATATTGAGACCCATAGGAGCACACATGAGCGCTCACTGAAGTTCCCAGTGAAAACAGTGTTTAAGTTGAGCTTAGAAGGATGCAACGGAGTGGGGGCAAGGGGCTGTGTGAGCTTCAAAGAGTGTCGGATAAACTGCGGGTGCTACAAATATTATAAGCAAGCCATACTATACACAAAGTCTACATTTGTAAACTCACTGGTATTGTGCATACAGCATTCACTTCTCATAAGAAGACGCAGCCTAAACAGACAATTGTTTTTCATAGACACCAAATAGAACTTTTTTCTAGGAACTCAGGAGGGAGAATACTAAAATTCTGCAAAATCAAAATAAGTAAAAAATAGGCACCACGGTCAATATGTACTTAATTCATAAAGATCAGGACCATGTCTAAATAAATGTGGATGGTATTCCCTCAAACTGCACCCTTACCACTTTGCCTTCTTCCCTGGGAGCAAAGTAAATATTTCCTCTAACACTGTATCTTCCTAAGTCTATACAATGCCTGTCACTTAGCTATTGCTCAATTAATCTTTGATAAAGATATCAATGCCCGGAGTTCCTCTGACTGGATTAGATACCCAATACTTTCTGAAGATGTAATAATACAGCCGAGAAAAAGTACACATACAACAAAGCCTATGGCTATGGCCCCAAACTTTCTTTTCTCTTTCTCTTGCCCGAGGTAGGGACACGGATGACCCACCCTACACACTTTTCCATCTAGTCCAAATAAAAAGTGTTAGAAACACATAAATAATTTCTACTATTGAGAGGATTTTGTTTGAAAAGAGTGTTCTAAAGGTTTTCTTTGACAAGTCGTCTGTTTAATTTACTCGTTGTAACCCTATCGATCTAACGTTTTTACATGTGTTTGTGTCATTAGGGTACCATCTGACCTCTAGTGGCGTTGTTAAGGGACACTGCACCATGGTTACCCTGCTTTAATATTCCATGTGTAAACATGTTGACTAGTCAAAAAGCTGCAGTTGAAAAAGAAAGCACAGCACAGAACATCACACCTTGAAGGGTTAAATGGCAACCAGAAGGCCCCTCACCACTGGAATTCTTCCCATGTTAGTGGGTTCTATGACTTCCTCTGATAACCTCTGCTATTAGTCAAGCCCCATTAAACTGCCTCACACTGACACATCAGTTACAACGTCATTTCCAAGTTCAGCTGGATACTAAGCCCTCTCACCAAGGCTTCTGACGACCCATAACTGATCCAAGTGACAGCAGAAAAGCCAGCCTCCTTACAAAGTTCCCAGGTATATTCACTCAGGGGTTCCCTTTGTAGCGGTGCAATGTCAGAGTTTGCAATGCTTTAACCATAGTGAACAAAACCATGGAACTGAAAATACCAGAAACACAGGGGAAAAAATTAAGGAAATGCTGTTTTAGTTGTGAATAGAATCATTGAAAGAGAAGAGATGGTCAGATTTTTCACAGCTGCATGAGTGGCAAAGCCAAGGCAGGGGGAGGTCTCTGTCTGATCTGCAGTTACCGATGGCAGGACTCTGGTGTGGGATGCTACGCCCAAACTCAGTACACGCAGATTTTTCGACTAGTTTATGGCCGTTCTCAGGACACAGAGTTTCAGAGTGGTGACAGGTAGAGAAAGTCCACGGTCTCTCCCAACCCCTCTGTGGCCCAAAGACGAAATCCAAAGTTCTTGACCTCATTACTAATAAACTGCTTTACTGAGACTACTCCATATTCACCTCTGTAAAAACACCTAGCAAATCACCTCTCCATTCTCTCCTAAGGAGAGCAGTACTAAGGGTATTCTCTAAATCACAGGAGAGAGCCTATCTTAAGTCACATTCAAAAAATGGTACATCTGACTGCCTGAGAATTGGCATGAGGAACCAAATACCAAAGACAATGCAGACCAACTCACAGACAGCTAGATCTTACCTTAACATCTCCAAAAAGAGAACAGGGTCTTCAGTACCATCCAGCGGAGGTCTGAATAAAGATAATGAGGCTTGCCCTTGGCCTTAAGCTTACTAATCCAGACCAGACTGTATCACTAATTCTGCAGTTTTCCTGATGGAAAAACCAGGCACTAAGACACAGTACAGACCCCGAATAAGAGTGTGGTGCCAAAGTCAAAGGCCGCCAAAGGCCACCAAATTCCGGCTGGTTCGGGACCAGTAAGAGGAAGGGAGCAAATGAATGAAACTCAGACATGGCTTGGCCGGGGCTGCTCTGGCTGTGTCTCTGTAAGGGTGCCTGGAACAAAGCCTCTGTGTCTAGCCCAGCACACTGCCTGGCACAAAAACAGGATCGGTAAATATTTGTGGAATCAGTGAACAGTGGATCATTTTACCTGAACGTCCCCAAAGCTCCCTCACATAGTTTATGCACTCTGCTCTAAGACGGGCACCGTCGATCCCATTATATTCCATCATATTCAGGGGGAAACCGTGGCTCAGAACTGAACGACCAAGTCGTCTACGGGGAGGACCCGCTGTCCTAATGTCCTACCCACACCATGGCAGCAGGACACCTACACCCCAGCCAAGCCCACCCTACAGGCTACCCGACCCCTGCTTACGCGATGCCTCTTCCCTGCGCCTTGGCCACGCCAGGCTGGGGACAAGGCACAGCAGCGGCCTCCAGGCCCCAATTCGACACAATTATTCTCGTCCCCAGCCCCCGACAAAGAGAGGCGATGTCCCTGCACACCACCCCTGACCTTTTTGTCCCAGATCTGCAGGGGCTTGCTGCCGATGCTGTAGAGGATGGGGAGGAAGCCGCTCTGGAACGTGTTTTTGAACATCTCGCCGGTGGCCCTCCCC